AAATACGATGGATTGTGTTTTGGCCGAATGAGATCTTTTTAACAGCATTCGAGAAGCGCTCTATGCCTGATGAAGAGACTATTTCTCTGAATTATCTGCCAGGTCGAGTCCTTTGGTCTCCGATGACATAACTTCCATCGCACATTTAGGCAAACCAGCCAAACCAATCGCCCGACGAGGCAAACAAATCAAAACAATCGCCCGACGAGGCAAACAAATCAAAACAATCGCCCGAAAATAAATAAAAAATTAAAAAAATACAGTCTGTAATAAAGTGTACATATACGTTCTAATCTTGTTTCTTTTTGCCATGTATTCTCCCTCCATAAAATCAAATAAACCTAAAACCAATTTGAACAAGCATCACAGAATTTACATATCGCAGCACTTCACTTTCGATAGGAACCGCTAGTTACTATTACCTTTTCTTCTCTGGTCTGTCCTCCACCACCTTCTCCACCACTGTCTCTGGGCTGCATCTCCAGTAATGTACGGAAAAGATTATCAGACGTAGTCGTCAGGAAGCCAATCTCAGCGTTAGGATGCAAGCCATACAAGTATGGGCTCTCTGGCGGTAGGGTATCGTCGATATACGTATGGTAACCTTTGAAATCAGAGTTGGGTGGCAGTGGGAATCCTGGTGCAAGRTTGAGTTCGCCTTCAAGCTGAAATAATTAATTTTGTAGTTTGAGAAACAAATGCTGGGACTTTTCAATAAGGATAGCTCGAAATTACTAAAAATTAGAATCCTTTGTTAATAAAGCAATTTCGTGTGAATGGAGACTACGGTTTGGTTGCAGCCTGACTTTAAACACTTTTGAATTCACTGTGTCCCTTCCATTTCGATGAACATTGACCATACAAAAATGTTTGAGCATGATCCATTTGGGAGTGATGAACATTGTCGGAGTTAAATAAATGAAAACACAACGCAGTAATGCTTGATGTTTGCAAAGTTTCTGATAAAAATAAGCAATTTTAGACAATCAATATTACCATTTCAGGCTTCATATATTCCTCTAGGTATGTCCTACAAAGACGTCTATCCCAGTCATCTGTGATATGYCCACCATACATAATCTCACCAAACAGATATCGTAGATCAGTCCACGGAACCTACAATAAAATAGCAAAATGATTAAGGTAAACAAGTAGTGCCATCGCATCACTAAATTATCGAGCTTAAGCCATACCTTAGCATTTGCCTCCAAGTAATTATACAACACGTTGACACTGATAGTCAAGTCACCAGTGTTGAATGGRTAMGAWCGATTCCAKCCCTGAGGACCRAACTTTCTTCTCTCAGCAACGACGGCGTGGAAGTAACACAAAGCAAATAAGATGCTCTTGAACTCGTTCTCGCGAGCGCACATTTCAAGWGTGTCCTAAAGAAAWAGCAAWAATCWTARTGGYTTGWTRATAAGAAAAAGCGAATGATGGTACGATGACAATCACGCTTATCATAGTCATGTTGATGATTGATGATGAGAATACATTGATTGACAGTAGTTGGTGATTATGATGGTGATGATAATTGATAAGAATGACTATGATAATTTTGATGGTGGTAACTTTAAAGCTTTCATTGATGTGAATGTAGTCTCGATGCTGGTTTCTATTGAGGACAGCATAAAGCTGATTGGTATTACCTGATCAAAGTTATTGAGAGCCTTGTGAAGATTAGCCATCATACCAGTCGGTGGTTCGTTGGTRATCTTGATCGATGATTCTAGAATACCTTGAGGAATGCAATGCGCTTCTGGAGTACCAGCTGGTTCAGCCGAGATGAATACACGGTACTCTTCATGACTRCCYTCGCTGTATGCCTCTAGTTGTTTTTCTAGTTTAGGCAGCCAGTTCTTTACCAAGTGGACATTCTATGGTATTGAAGGGCAACAAAAGGTTATGAAATTTCTAATCTAAATTCCCTARGAGAAAAGGTGGAAACTGACCTGTAAGATGACCCAGTGACCTTCCTTTGCTGCAAGATCTAAGCACTGTTCTGCGACAATCTCTTGACCCTGTGGATTCAATTTAAATGTATCGAACAATCAATCAATCGAACAATCATCAGTCAAAACATCATTCGAACAAAAAAACACTCGAACAACCAATCAATCAATCGAACAATCAATCAATCAATTAATTAACCGAACAATCAATCAATCGAACAATCAATCAATCAATGAATTAATCGAACAATCAATCAATCATCTTATGCATGTTATACCTGTCCAAGAGATACGTTGTGAAAGTTCTTGTTATCAAATGTCTTTCCGAGTTTTTTGCCYAATGCCTCCACATCTTTTAGTGGATCCACTCCAGGTGAGAGGATAAAGAAGATTGGTGTGCCGGGTGAGCTTTCTTCGTATGATCTCGAAAACTCGAGCGGAGCGTCTTCAACATATTTGTGTCCCAGTTTTTCCTCCACAAAATTACTGTGAAACAATGATCAAGAAATTATTACTCAATGTTTCAGACTACTAAAATATGTCATTAAAACTGTCGAGGGTAATTTAATTTCCCTGTTGAAGTGATTGTTACGTAGACAAGTAATTAGTAACAGATTAACAGTGAAACAGAACGCATAATATGAAATTTTTGACGGTAATTATTACCTGACAGCGTAAGTCATTCTGTCGGGTCGTAACGCTCTCATCATACACAGCTTTTGAAGCGCAGTTTTATTTTTCCATTCTTGAGGGAACTTTTCTTTCTCGGGACATTCACTCTCCACAAACTTCTTCCAMCGCTTGGCGGAGCCTTCGATATCCCTGTCCAGGTTACGGAACTCTTCCATATTCCCCAGGGCTTTGATACCTCCCCAGCAAAGGTTGTTTAGGAAGTCTACTGGACTCGTGACGTTCATTACTGCAGGGAAACGAAGCAGGAAGTCCAGCTCGTGTGGAACGATTTCCTTTTTCATTAAGAGGACCTGGGTCAAAGGATAAAGCGGTTTTAGATAGTTGTGAAAAATATATATTAACGGTTACGATATCTATAATTTACAGCAGTCAACACTATGACGTCATCAACAACATGACGTCACAACATACATAAAAAAAATCAAAATAAGTCTTACTTGGAATGCAACTTGGGCAGTGAAGATAAGCTTGTCCTTTTCGAACAGACCTCTTGTAGTATAGATGAAAACCGAGTAGGTAATACAGTCAATTAAATTTATAACACGGGCTTTGACTTCTTCAGCTGGTTCTGCACGCGAGATGGCCGTATCGAAAACCACACTGAATGCCTACAATTAAAAATTGATAACAGGACTGAGTATTGAGGACAGAAGAACAGACAGATTTTTAACTTACCTTGAGAGAGAACTGATACATAGGGTTGATCTTGTTCAAGTCGTTCAATATAAAGTAGAGTAACGACGCCCTAGCAGCCGCTGGTCTATACGCCTCACGGGCTTCGTTAATCTTAACCTCAGTTATCTTGGCCTCACCGACTTGAACTTCAATCTCAGCTGCAGTTCTCTTGGTTGTCTCTAGGTTTTCAACTAAGGCGTAATCACCCAGGAAGTTACCACCAGCTGCAGAGAGACGAGCTAACAGCGAGTCCTCGAGTTCTTTGAGCTTGATTGTGAAGGCGTTTTGTTGCTGAGTGAGCTTTGCCTAAAAAGAACAAAATAACGAATGTATAAATCAATGAAATATTCACTTTATTAAATCTATTTTGTGGTCATATACAGACACATGCATTAATAGATAGTAAGGATTCAATAAAGTAATAAAGGATTAAATAAAKTAATTTATATCTTCAACAAACCTTAGTTTCCTCCAAGTCAGGTCGTTCTTTGCGCACGACGTCAGCAAGCAACTGATCTTCCAAGCCTTCTCTTGTGACCGTGAAGTTGATCAAAGTAGTCTGGGCCTGCATTTCTGGTTTGTAATGTGGGTTTGCTAGTTTAGTATGCAGAATAAGACGGAAGTCCTGATGATACTCGACTTCTTTGTCTCCCATCTTGATGGCTCTATTGTAATCACAGAAAGAAATAAGCACTCCAAGAAAATCTTGACAAAACTCTTGATTAAATGCATGAGAAATCCTTACCTTCCTTTCTTAATGGTGTTTCGACCAATCAAAGGRTCYAARACAGCRTCAACACTCTCACCCATGTTTTCGATCAACATGCAATCACCATTCGATACAGCTCGTTCAATGGTGTCCAAATATCTGTTGACAGTCATAGTAATRATTGTTAAACAACAAAAACACCATAGCTAATCAAAACATTACATTATGAGATGTTGAATTATTCCTACCCTTTCTGTCCAAGGCGGACCACACGTAAATCTGCCCCCTCCCGGGTTTTAATCCATTTGATACCCTGAAGCTGAGGGTCGATCATGAGAGGCCAACGCTCACAGTTCGTAAGGATCGTAGCGTTCTCGGTAGACATTCGGTCACTCGGGAGATTTTCGTTATTCCATTGGGCAATGGTGGCATTGTCGGTGAGAAGACTAAGCGGGTCAAGGCCTTCGGTGGTTTGGATCTTAACCTGGTTTGAATAATTAGAAMGAATATTGCTGTTTAACAAAAAGGAACCCAGATAAAGATCCATGATATGATAATCATCGGCTAACATCAAAACACGCATGACTATTACCTTTTGTCCCTCCATGAAGTCAATCCACTTCTTAAAKAGGTTTTCCCTGTAGCGTCTTGTAAAACACCCTTGGTATGACACAAAAGCCGTMGTRAGAAGGACATCACCCGGTAACGTCTTTTCTTGAATCTTAAAGTTAGCGACMGATTCTCCCCAACGAACGTTTTCCGACGCTAGACCACCCACGAGCCTGTTAGCGAGCTCAATGGTCTTAGCCGTCGTCTCCGCCTCTTGCTGGCATTTCAATTTCTCTGCGGTAGCTTTCTCAAACGCAGCGGTAAGTTCTGCCAAGTTCTCATCAAGCTCTTGGATCTTGGCTTTGATTTTAGCTAGCTTGTCCTCAGCGGCAGCAAGTTCGGCATTGGCAGCGGCAAGTGCTTTTCTTTTAGGCTCGACATCGCAGAAGATTCTGTAGAACTGAACAATGTTGATAACCCAGGCACACAGACCACCGGCGGCTAGAGACTTGCCCTTGATGAAGTCAGCATTGAAGTCGGGGTCGTCTAGGTAGGGTTGYACAGCTTTCARATTGTTATCATGGATGTTTTCTTTGTCGTARTTGATMAGTTGATCTAAAAACTGATCGACCTATGTTTGGAAAAAAAAAAGATGTCTTGAGATTTTAAGAACTGAGAGATATGTACGTGGCAATGTGGATTGAACTCAGTACAGGTGAGCTACGACGTTTGTATCTACCATTATTATCCTTATTCTCATACTCACTATGATTTTGGTCATGTTATGAGAATAATTCTTACTCTAATGTACACTAGCCTCCTTTGCAGACGTTATCGGTCATACGTTCCCTCTCCACGTATACTAATAACGTCCGCAAAGGAGGCTAGTGTACACCCTTTTCATTCTTATTCTCTTTCCTTCCAGTTTCCATTCTAAWTTTCAATTGACGTTCCTCATACCTTAGCCATCATGACTTTAGCAGCCTTCCAGCTCCTGTCCTTRGGTATCTTAGCGGAGGGTGCAAGTAACACCATAACAGCAGAAGTAACACTGACCACAGCAGCAGGTGGAGACCCAAACGACTTCAATTCAGTCAAGTTGTTCTTGTTCAAAGTGTTCAAAGCMTCTTGGGCAGCAACCAATGCAGGTTCTGCTTTAGCTAAATCTTCTTCGCAAGACTTTTGTTTCTCTGATACATCTTTGGCAATGACCTAATGGAGAATAAGAACGAATCTTTATGCTCCCGAACAAGGTAAAGAAAACAGACAAGACAAGAAGGAGAACTATTTACAAAACCCGGGCAAAACGTACCTGAACTTTCTTCTCTTCACCATCTGCGAAAGCCTTTTCCTTGCTGACTTTTTCGGTCTCAACACCGACTTTAGCAATCAGCTTGTCGGCRTCCTCGTTCTTTTGCTTTAATTCAACCTCTTGCGAGGCAAGCTTAGCTTTGAGGTCGTCTACTTGTTGCGCTGTGCTCTGGAGTTTGAGCAAACCATTTTCAAGACGCTCAGTTTTCATCGCCAGTTCTTTAGCTTTTTTCTTWAGAAGGTTTCTATACAGGTTAATCTGTTCGGTGATAAAAGAAAGAATCAGTGTTTATATCGAAAGCACTGAGAATTTCTTGATATAACTTTTWGCTGACCTGTTCAAGAAAGCTCTTGGGTGTTGTGTAGTTATAACGTCTCTCGTTTGCTAAGTACATGTGACTTTCTTCATTCACACTGGTRTGTACAAAAGACATGAAGTCTGCTACAGATGGCCTGACTTCAGCCTGGAGGTAAACAAATTTAGATTAGAAAATTACGTAGTGTTAATACACCAACCAATTAGTATGAACTTACATCAAGCTGTTCCAGATCTTCAATGAAACGGTTGCTGACAGACACCAAAGCCTCTTGAGGCCATTCGTGGAACCAGTCGATAGCTGTACAGTTAGTAACAGCGGGGAATTTACGGCTACGCACACGCAAMGTAGAGCCAACGGGTGAGAAACACAGAACAACCTGTCATAAGGGAAAAAAACCGCGTTTTCATTTGTTTTCTTGAAATATGAAGGTAGAATCTTAAACTAGTTGAAAAGGAACTCTGAGCCGTTTAAACTCTGGGTAAGCTACATGAAATTTAAACGTCATATCAACGTATTGTTTGAAACGTCGAAACTCACAAGTACCGAAGTAATTATGCAGTTATAATAAGTATTTATATGAAAGCTGGTATAATTTGCATTTTATTGCGACACATGAAAGATTCGACGTTTAAAAACCTATCTTACCTTCAGATTCCTGCGCACTCGTTCGATGAARAACATCCAACAGTTTTCCCTCGTGTCCTGCAAGCCAGCACCTTTTACTTCATTTCTCACACCAGATATGATATTCTCRACCTCATCATCGGGGAAGAGCCCAGGAATCTCACCAGAAGCCAATAGATCGTTTATCAAAACCAAAAAGTTTTCTTCTGGGACTTGAGCATCAGTGAGTAGGAATACAGTACCGATGTTTTTCCAACCGGCTTTGATGCACAGAGCAGCTAAATCAGCYTTCATGTCCGGGATGGCGTATCCTTTACGTAGGGTGATCTGAAATACGTCCAGGGAACTGATGAACGCAGCCAGTCGAGCAAGACTCTGTTTGCCACTACCACCGACTCCGACAAGAAGAGCGTTACCACGTGGGGACTCCAGAATACGATTAATACGACACCTAAAGACAGCATTGAAAATGGTGACGATGTTTATAATAACTAAATGATACTAATACCAACAACAAAAACAAATATAAAACAAAATAGAATGGGACAAAATGGAATGGGACATCTGACTTAGAATCAAATCTATACAAAGTTTGAGAGTTAAAAGTGAAGAGTACAAATTAAGAGAAGCGTAGATGAATCAGAGTGAGAGGTACTAGTATAGTTCGGCGAATAACAGTTTAGAGTAATTGTTTACAAGAAGGACAACAGAAGACACAACCAAAAACTCATGTCATTTTCCACAAAAAGTGTGAAAGCACAACATTTTCTATCGTGCGTTGTCACCTCACGGTATGTCGTGTACCTAACAATCCACACGATTCTTGGTCGATATTTTTACTACTAGAAATATCTAAAGTCATTGTCAGTACTTACACATGCTGCATGGCATCTTCAAAGAGTACAAGATTCATTACTGCGTTTACTTCATTGTAGTTATCAAGGGCTTCGACTAGAAGTTTACTCAGACTGTCCCARCCTTGWACTTGAAGGTATTTTGGCTCACCWATGCCACTAGCAAAGTGACAAAACAGGTTTGGTTGTTGYGTGACGGCTTCTTCRTCAAAGTCCTGTGCATTTGATATGACATTAGACAGGTTTTTTACAGCGGTATTAATGGCATTGATAAAAATATTCTTGCCAATTAGCCACTGAACGGTGATAATAAATCATTTCGTATTAAATCATTATTTAATTGTGAACCTTCACATATGAAAATCACAATCTTACATTTTGAACCAATCAAAAAGAAACTCTCATTGACAGATCTTTGCTAAAACACAACAAACGACCGCAAAGGTTCACGGACKCACGTGGGCCTTTAAGCTGTGTTATTACCATAACGAATGTTTAGTTAACGCACCTCAAAGAATTTCTTCGTGATGTCCAATTGGATCTTGTCRTACATTTCGATGTCTTTTTCCTCAATCAGTTTGTCTCTGTAGACTCGGTTACACTCGTGCATCCAAAGTCGAACAAAGTCTACTGGTGTTTTTAGGCATTCTGGTGTGGAAAACAAGATACCCTACAAAATAACAAAGTGCACCATGATAAATATAAACATATTATTCTATTATGGCTTTTCTATTACATCCTTGAAACTTCCTTATTGATCGTTTTCACCCATTCCCATGAGATTCAAAAGATGAAAGACCAGCGGCCATGTTGGAGGAATGAACAATATATACTATTGAGAAATCCTTTGTTAAAATTCCTCCAAGATGGCCGCTGTGACGTAACCTGAAAACGAATAATATCTCCTACCATTACATATTTTCAATAATAAGAAGAAAAAAATGGCTAAAAAATAGAATATAAGTTACCTGGAATATGTTGGAAAGATCTCGAAGATTGAAGATGTAATGGAATTTGATAGCTGTTGGTAGGAAAGTACTTGTGACCTTCTGGTTCAAAGCTAGTGCTGCGTCAAGAAGTTTCTCTGTTATCTTGGCAACAGACGATGGAAAGGCGTGCACTTTCATATATCCATTGACGATACTGAGATACACTGTCTTGAGGGCATCAAGACCAGGGAAACTAATGGCAAACACTGCGAAATGACGCTGAAAAGAAAATATAATGGTGAGTCAACACTGCTCCWTTGTTTTTCCTTGTTCTGTCTTGCTGTGTTTTACTTGGCTTTTATTCGTTCGTTTTGTTTTATTTCGTTTGTTTTGGTTTGGTCTGCATGCTTTTCCTTGTTCTATTATTTGTGCTGTGTTTTGTTTGGCGCTGTTTCGTTTGTTTTGTATCAATTCGTTTCGTTTTATTGTTTTGCTTGTTTTGTCCTCTATTGTCTTTTTTGCTTTATAGTGTTTCGCTTGTAGAGTTSTCTTGTTTTGTAATGTTTTGTCTTGTTTTGTACATTGTGTTYCGTTATTTTTCCTTTTTCTTACCTGTAGACGTGGATTGATGGTAAAGCTACCAGCTGTTGGATTCATACAAGCCACATACTGCGTGTTACTGATATCTTTGAGGGTTAACTTGTTCCTGTCATACCAGTGATGATAGTCGAGGTGCTGTCGAATTAGCGTATGGGGTTGTACAGTACCATACGTATCAACCTACAAGCACATCAACAAGTAGTGAGATCTCTTTCTTTTACTTTGACATAAATACAAGCGAATCAAACTAAACTAAAACACGCAAACCCACCATAGGCATGTTCATGTCATCAATAAAGTAGATGAGTTTCTTATTTCCAGGTGGACCGTAGTTTCGTCCTGCTTTYTTCTCCAGAGGCTTCTCTAAGACACTTTGCAACATAGCCGACGTGGTGTAGTAGTTGAAAGGCACGTTACCAACCATTGTAACATCAGGGTCCAGTGACTGGAAGTAGTCGTTTACTAAGACTGTTTTGCCAGTTCCTGCATTACCTACAAGCATCACTGGTCTTTTCTTTTCCATTAGCAGATCCATGAAGAATCGAACACGAGTTGTCTCTGCGGTATGGACAAGGACCGCCTGATAGCAGAGATATAAAAACTGCTGTTAGTATATCAGTATTATTTAGTTATCCTGCCATCCTTTCATTCACTTATTAATCCCTTTATTTCTTTATCTATTCATCTATTCGTTCAATTAAATCGAATCTGAGACGTTACCTGTAGGGGTACTTCAGGATCTAACTCAAACTTAGGAACGGTATCTGTCCAAGGAACAAATTTCTTGGTTTCGCGGTCAATCAAGTAATCAAAGACAGTACCAGCTGAAGGGAACTTGATGGTCTTGAACTCAGTTACCCACCATTTTGAGAACTCTACACGGTAGTCAACGAGCTGATCTTGGAACATGGCGCCACCAAARGCCCATACAGCAGCAAASACAAAGTACAACTCATACAACTCTTTGTTACAGTCTGGTGGAGTATTCTCCGGTGTTAAAAGACATTCTAACAGGTAACAAAGACTAGTGACTTGAGTAATATCAGGCACTGGGGTGATCTTCTTGAACCTKACTCGAAGGACGTCTAAGCAGACAGGGACGTAYTTGTCGAATAAGATCTGCAGGTTGGCCTTCTCKGAYTGGACTTCTCTGGTATCRATCCAACTGGAAACATACCTAAATGTACACGAAGACATATTATTGAACTGACACATGTTTTGTCATAAATTTAGCAAAGATTTTAGACTGTAATTGTTTAGTTTTACGGGCATGAAATACATAGATAACAATCAATAAACAATGAACAACTTACGGATTCCAGCCAACATCTGCGTAGTTCAAGAACAGAATACCAGCACGTGACACGGTGGCGGGTGTGGCAGTCTTGAGGTGACCAATCTCAAAAAGAAGTCTCATTGAAGGGGTGAGGGGTACACGTTCGTTACTCGCAAGTGTCAACACCTGTAATGATAACATAGGTTYGATGATAGATCGTAAAAATGGCTGGGATTACACCAGTACATTATAAACCATTCATTTTATCATCATAATCATCAGTCATCATCATCATCATCAAATGACTTACTTTATTATCGTCCATGACAGTATTGAGTGATTCAATCCACATAGGATCGATGTCRCCATCGAGTACAATCCACTTGGGGGATTCATTGGCAATGTTGGACAGGTCACGCATGGTAGTAGAAAACARACCTATTAAACGACAAYAYRACATTAYYGYACATCAGGGATATATCGAACTGTCCTTAGTAACAGGGTGTTCGTACTACAGGGGTTTGAGCAAGGCGACAGTTGACTCTAGTCGGGAGAAAGCGACCAYCGCTTATTATAATACAAGTTCACTTACCATCTTTCCATTCTCGTGTGGATGGATTGATAAAACCAAAGAGTTCGTCAGCTGTGACGGCTTTAGGATTCAAATCATGAAGCAATGGTTTTCGTTTCTGATTCTGGTACGTYTTATTCAATGTACGAATGACCTACAAAAGAAGTTATAATTAAAACAATTGATCGATAAAATTGAGGAATGAGATTTTTCTCTTGTTACACGTGTTTTATATACATCTATTAATTTGTGTATGGGGGAGCAACCTTCCAACTTTATTCAATGCAATACTTGATTGTTCCTACTGAAGACAGTCAAGTTCAATGAGCATTCGTTCWTTTTCAGTGGYTTAATGYAAGYTTTTTTGTATGTACCTGTGTTTTTCCTGTTCCTGCAGGACCAAGGACGAAGACAGAGTGACGCACGGCAAGAAGTTCCTCTAGCTGTACTACCTTGAGGATAAAACTGTCTTCTGGCTGTAATTTGAGGTCCTAAAACAAGAACAGGCACTTAAATTACTTGTTCATTATACTATTATGTAATAAAGGCAATACACTAATCATAGACTAGAAAAAAAAAAAAAGAAAAAGAAAACAGGGAAATTTCTTTCCACATACCAATGCAGATCGTTTGACTAAAGCTTCAAAGTCCATATCTCTCTTACGAGGCACATCAAGCGCTGGGAACAGATCCCCAATCAATCCCATGAACACTGGTACATCATCAGTAACAATCTTAGGGATGTTGAAGTCACGAAGTGCTCTCATTAGCACCTGATCCTCTGGTCTTGTTCTATCAGATCGTTTAAGAGARCCAGCGACAACAAGGACGGATTTGATGGCACGCAGACCCCAATCGTAGTGGTCCTGTTTTGATAGAAGTTCCTTGCAGAGAGAGTACAGGGTAATAAACTTCCTGGCCAAGGCGCGAGCCTCGATGAAACCTTCAGCCACCAACATGATTTCACAAATCAGTTCAAAGTCAGGAACGACCATGGCGCATGGGCTGAAATAGTATCAGAGAGGTTATTATCAAAGCTTTAAAAAATGTTTGACTTATTAACGAGCGTTTGAGATCAACAAAATCGGCACACAATGCAGGCAGAACTGACTCCATTGAAACCAGGAATGAATGGTCTCTTCCACTAATGACGTCATTTTTGATTCGGCGAAGTGCATCACGGATATGCTATAAGTATCAAGATGGCGGATATTATTTAAAAACTAAGTTTTCGAACATACCGGAAAAGAGCCTTCAAATTCTCTGGCAGCTCTGTACGTCCAGCATAGCCAGGATTCATGGTWATAAAAAGGCCCACAGTTGGGACAAGGCAAATGTCTTCGCCTTGGAAGATGAAGCGCTCTTTCTTGTCTCTGATGGCATCTTGGATAGATTTGACTTGCACAGCAATGACYGACAATACTTCTACTGAGATTCGATTGAATTCATCAAAACATCCCCAGGCACCAGTCTGGGCGAGACCCTTGTAGATGTTACCGCACGACTACGATAAAAAGATAACATCAAGATGAGATATATAAAAAAAAAACAGCATTTGTCTGACGGATATTCGGATATCGAGTCTMCGCGATTTTTTAGGAACAGGGACCAATATAAGGGTCCGTTATAACGGTGTGTCCGAAAGGCGTTTTTATTTCGAATGGTTTCCTATTGTTTCTACCTTGTAGTCCATCTGTTCCGAGCAGTTGAAGACATATACCATGATACCGAGCGCCCTGCCAAGATCCTTAGTGGTCTCCGTCTTACCAGTCCCTGCAGGTCCAGCAGGAGCACCACTCATTGTCAAGTGAAGAGACTGGGTCAAGGTAATGTAGCACCTGTAAGATGAAATAAAAAAAGAATAGTTAAATTAAGGGATATTGTGAAAGACATGGTACAACTGAATGGAAAATGACAAACAACTTAACCCTACAGACAGACAGACAAACATTCAGAGTGAAACATTACCTGTCAGTCAATGGAGTGATGACAAGTCGAGGGGTATTTCCGAGGTACTCATAAGAATACTTGAACTGCGCGTCACAAATATTAGCATAGCAATGTCCGTTGGAGTCGTCCCAGCGATGTCTGAGCTGGCTAAGCCACAAGAATGCCTGAGCATTCTCCACCTTCTGTTGGATTAGTTTTGCCACTACATCACGTGCATGCACATCGATTGTACAAATGGTCATAATCTTTTGTCTGTCACCTTTGCTTAGTTCACCAATCAACATGTTGATCAGGGTAGTAAGCTGGCTGACCTGAAAACAAACAGTTAAATCAGCTCAAAGACTGCCTCCTCTATGTTTATTATATGTCTTAAAGTACCTGTTTCTTGTAATAGTCTTTCAGTGCGTTTTCATAGCCCTCTTCCAGTCGAGCAAACGATATCCCCACCTCTGTAGTCCACCAGATCTGGGTGCCGCAAAGCGCGACTTGAGCTGGGAAGTCAAACAGCCATTGATCACGTGGTTTCTCTTCGTACGACACGACGGCTTCTGATTGTTGGTGTCTGACAGTTGCACGTGACGAGTCCATGACACGATTTAGCCATATCTCAACCTAGTAGTCACAAATTGAAATATGAAGACATGTAGTTGAAGTGAAGTTATCAAAAAAAAAAACACCGATATAAAATAAGGGCGACAAAAGGCAAGTGAACACACAAAAGAATAAATTAATTAAGTGTATCAGGAATTTATCTGACAAAGAAAGCAGGAATTCAACTTTAACGCATTAATTTTCGCATTCGCCGTATTCGAAAGAGCTCTAGGAATCATTGCGCAATATTACGCAATATTAAGGTGCGCTTTTATTACCTGTCCAGAGCAGTCGCACTCCTCTACAAAGTCCACATATTCGTTTTCTTTACTGTACATGCCAATRGCTGTYTTSGTAACRTTGCCTTGRTCATCTTCCTTGAATTTGAGTTTTGCCATGTTATCGAATAGCTTGGACAAGTGACGGCAGACCTAARAACATTAACAGTATTACGTTAAAACTTCAATATTTTCCACAAGAMGGTTTATTGCTATTGGTGAGCATGGAATGTTTTTCGTYRAGAAGTAAAACGTCAATATTTCTTACCTCGACGGGCTGGTTTCCTTTAGACARAATATCCARCAGATCAGCAGACGAYACGAAGTAAAACCGRGGGAAGGCAAGTCGTTTGGTCTCCAAGTATTCAGCAAGAGCCTTTTCACAAAGTGACAAGCTRAAARAATGAACAAATCATGGGATTATCCCTTGCAATAGTGGACAGAAATACTGCACTAAGTCCAAATACCACAGTATATATGAATGACTGAAGAAAACTTTCAGTCGAGAAAAATAGACTCAATTATCTCTAAAGCATGGATAAGTTTTCAGCGGCTTATCTAAAAAGAGCGTGCGCAATATAGATAATTCACGGTTCGAGGAATGACCTACTGTAGAAGACTGCTTTGTACTAAGGTCAAGGTTTAGGATCTGATTAGCTTAGTTTTAAATTCTGTACTATGATTGGTCCAAAAAGTTCTGCATTTGACTTACCTTTCCTGAAGGTTYTCGAGTTTATCAAAAAGTCCCGGTCTGTTGGTGCAATCAACTACATTAGGGATCTTAGCACCTTCTGTAGCAAGTTCCTATTAGCACAAAGTAGCGTTCGTTTAATAATAGGTTGGCTTTAGTGGATAACAATGGAGATAGGTGGTGCTTTTACCTTAAAGTCTACATCAATTCCATCAAAACGCTTAGAATCCTCTGGCAACTGATTTCGAATATCCTCAGAGCCAATAAAGATACTTTCCAAATGTGACCATGTTCTTTGAACTTCAAACCAGATGCTGATAACAGAATCGCCCGTCGAGAGCTTCTTCTGCCACGAGGTCACCTCTTCCAAGAAATGCCCAATGTACTTGGATGTCATCAAGTTTTGAAGCTGTACTTGGTTATCCTCRAGWGTTTCAATGAGCTCCTCGCTGGATTTCAGTAATGGAACACCAGTTCTAAGGTGATCCTCATATTCGAATTCCATCTGAGACCAAGTGACATCAAGCTCTTTGAGCACCTTTTCCATGCCAAGTTCCTTGGTGGCCTTGTCCACGATGCCGCGTACTTCGTCTTCAAAGTTGTGGAGGTTGAGAGCCAGCAAGTCAGCAAGGGTGGTGTCGTCATTCATGATGAACTTGACCTATAGGAAGATTAAAAAATATAATAATAATTACTATAATATAATAACCATGACGAATCAACGAGGATTTTTTAAGCTGAGTTTTAAGTTTCAAAGATATTCAATTTATTCGGTCTGCAATGGTTCACAGATAAGAAGCTATAATGAGGACTGATACGAGTGAGATTATCTATAAGAGCGATGGATGAGTGTGAATACAAGTCTGACTATACAGTGGAACATCGATRATCCGGMCACAAAATGGACATCGAAAAGTGCCCGCATTCATGGGGTGGTCGTTTTTAGCGAATGGCCGTTAGCTGGAGTTCCACTGTAGSTCTTATTTCTTAATAATTTCATTACCTTGGTAGCCTGCATAAGTTGTTGCCAATGACGCTCCCTAATGGCTGGATTCTGCAGCTCACCAACAGCACGWAGCGATGTGACCATGTTCTTAACAGTCGAGTCCAGTCCACCAAATCCATCCCAGGCACGCATYTCCTTATCAAGRCTACGGATCTCTTTGACAAATCGCTTGCACTCCATTTCCATGTCTTCGACGTTGATGTCACCCCACAGAGTAAGCTTCCATTCATCAATGCTCGATGTCACCACAAAGATCATATCCCAAAGCTGCTTCAGTAGCAAGACTTCTCTACGACAAGCACGSAGCTGTTTGTAGTCTGGGAAGTTCACCTCGAAAAGACCAGCACTCTCGTGAAGGGCATTCATTTCCTTCTCCATTTCACAGATCTCGCGATTAGATTTATCCAAACGGTCRTAAACRTTGGTAGARGAAAAGGCAAATGGCGCAGTTTTTCGGAAATCTTCCCGGAATTCGTGCTGTTTGATATCAAACTGACCGCAYTTMCGTCTGATTATTGCCACTTCGGTTGCTTGTAGCGGAGCAACTTGTTGCTTGACGGTGACAGCAATCTTCTTGCTATTGTTCCATTGTTCAGGAAGTTCTTGCAGCTGTGTATGTACTTCTTCGGGCATCTCTTGTCCATACGTCTTCAAAAGCTCTATCGTTTGCTTGAGTGGTTCAAACATCTCGTCCGTTGCTGACTGTCTGTCCTTGACAGCCATCAGGTGACCCATGACGTCGACGAGACCATTGTAGTCGCCTTCTTGGACTGTCTTAGTAAGACCCACGTCTGCAACCTTTATGAAGTCAGCTAAATCATTCAAACTGTTTGTGACGTGGTCGATGAGATGCTGTTTGAACATGTAGCTCCATCTCTTGATGATATTTAATAAGGCTTGTTTGAAGGGTCGGGCATCCACGCGGAACCACGTGTCGAATACATTCATMCCCTGAACYTCCTCTACTTCAACGTAGAGCTTYTCRTAAGTGTCTATYTGTTCTTTGAACTGCTCTAGAGTTGGTGGGCATTCGGGCACGCCATCTTCGGTGTGAGCTTCAATTTCTTCCGCCGTCAGAACGTGATTGTAAAGTAAGAACTGCCGCATGAATTCTACACGGTCATCAAGCCATAAGTAGGAGTAATTATCAAACGAGCTACGATATTCATTAGCTTTATTCATAATGCCCGTCACTCTGTCCATCAAGTCCTGACGCATCTCAGACAAATCAAGCATRTCTTCCACATCGAGTTGATAATGTTCTGATTCGTTATGATCWGCSAGTCGCTTCACCAACGAGCCCATCTTATACACGTCGTTAATAATACTCTCKACAAGGTCGTAGTACCCATCAGACACACCAAAGTCTAACGATGGTAAAAATACAAGATCTGGTTGTTGAAGCTCGAGTTTGGCTTCGAATAATGGAGTGGARTTATGTTTAGAGTCTGTATTGTCTAAGAGATAGTTCAGCGAACAGTGCACGCAGTTAAAGAAYCCATCGAGGACCATATCGTCAAGATAGTCGACATACGCACGCCATATTTCTGTGTTTGCATCGGCTTGGAAAAGCTCTAAGTTTTTCTGAAAAAGAAAGGAAGGCATTCAGTTGCTGCAGTGTGTCAGCAATAAAGCAAAAAAGAAAAAAATAAGTATAACAGCATAACTAATGAAAAAAAAAAAAAAAAAAAACTGAAAACAAAATATAGCAGTAGTATACAGAAGAGCAGAGTAGAGAAAGACAGAAGGGAACCGCGGCAATTGAAGAGCTAAGCAGACAACATGGATTACCTGTAATAGACTATGTATTTTCTCCCCTGATTGCTCRATAACTGCATATCTCTTGGTTAACAAAGTATCGCGATCCTAAAAAAGACAACAATTTCTAGTCATAAATATCTAATCCATAAACCCATGTACATACAATATTACTAATCACAATAATGGTCGTCATTTGTATTTTACCTCTAAGTTAAGAAGTCCTTCCTTCTTTCCCTCCTTTCTTTCGTACAATGGTGCTTCACTCCATTTAGTCATAATCTGACTAATAGCCTCGACGTTGTCTTTAGCTGCTTGGACGCGAGTCTGAAGGTCGTGGACCATGTCACGTGTCTTTTCTATATATTCCCAGACCCCTAAACAAARAACACGACTATAATAAATGCTTCTGTTTGCATACTTATTGTACGCATTTTTACATGATRTCATAAATTATCCATTCAGATGTTTTCAAGATTTGAAGCCTGACTGAATTTCTGAATGTCTGTAAATTGGACTAACAATGCAAAAACAACTGGCATCGATGCATACTTCCAGTCCAGTATGCGAMGCTCTACAAACTTACCATCGCTGTTCCAGTTCAAGCTCTTCTCGGCCTGTTCTAGCTGATTATCGATGTTCTGTAGCTGACCTTCCACCAATGGRAACTCTACGTCTAGTAAGGTTTCTCGTACTGTGTTATACCACGCAACGGTCAAGTCTAAGTTTGCGCAAAACTTGTGGAAAGTCTCGTTACGCGAGTAAATAGCAGTGGCACTGTCAGGAATGGTTTCAAGTGCCTCATTTTGAGCTGTCTCTAAGTACTTGACTTCACGTARAACGGCGGTAAGCTGAAAAAGATAATTTAGATTAATATAGATGTATTTAAACAGATGTAGTTTCATAGAAACCGCCTATTAAAGTTACCTCTGGGTCAAAGTTGACTTTGATCAGTTTTGTGTTAGGATCTCTGATGATCAAAGGTTTGTCTAAGTTTTGTTGTGATATTGAATCTACACCGTGAGTCCAGTGGCTGTAGGTCTTTTCATCATAACTATCAAAAGAAAACAAAACCAAGACATTTAGTGACGGAAAGCATACAAAACGTAGAACGAATGAAAAAAATAAAACTGACCTTGTAAGAAGTTTATTCATCTCATCATACTTGTTGAATATAATCATCGCTTCAGCAGTCTCCAGAGTCCTGAATGATTTATTATAATAACATTAGATGGACAGTGAATGTGACAGAAAAAAATCTTTGAATAAAAACAAATTTAAAATAGAATAAAACAAGGACAAKCAAAATAGAAATAAAAAATGACAAGATATAGGAAATATGACATGACAACAAAGAGAATTTTTCACTGCCAAGRTGACCAATAAAAATGATAATTTTGAAGAAAGCATATCTTCAGTAGGATGACATTTTCAGAACAGAAGAGCAGATGTACTGAGAATCRCAAGAGTTCAAAGTGATACCCTTGTGCAATATCAAGCACATTAATATTGGGAAATGAAAAGAAATGAAAAAAAAGAAAAGAAATGAAGCAATGAGAAATGAGAAATGAGAAGATGGTGTACAGATACCTTAAGAAAGCATTTGCATATATAGGAAAACCAGAGTAAGGCCTTGATTTGAAGAGAAACAGATATATGATAGAATGAGCAGAATGCATGATTTGATAGCATATTGCAAACAAGAAATGCAAATGCACAATGAATAATGATAATATTCAAGTCATCAAAGATATCACACAAGTGAGTACATGCTTGGATAAAAATAGATGCATGACATGCATGCTAATTGCAATGAAACAATATGACGGAAAGGAAAATGTAGTAATGAATTGCCAACATGCAAAACATGCATGCATGCACATCAACTGCATGCAGAACAAACCAAACTAATTGAGAGAGTACTGTAGCAAATATTCAAGAGTTAATCTGTTTTGTATTAATGCCATTCAATGCACCATCATGACTGGGAGAGAGCCTAAATAACATGTATTATTATCTCAATTACATCAATCATTCAATCAATCAAC